GTTGTTGGAGAGCGCCACTAGAAGATCCTAATTTTTTTCATTTTAGATCCCTACTCTGTTGCCTCTGTCTCTGTCTTGCTCCTTCCCTGCACTATAACCGTTTTTGTGTTGATGTGTCGATGTCTTCTATTCACTCAAACACCTGGGTGGTTGGCGGGTGTTCCTGTGCGGTTCGCTCCTTCTTTCCTATCGAACATCCAGCGCCCTGATCTCTCCTCCTTCTTTTTTGTGTGTTACTCTCTTGTAACACCTCTAATTTTTGGCACTTATGTGACCTTATTAATAATTGAGTTGCAAGTGCCGTAAAACTCTTACAAAAACGAAAAACTCGAGCTCGTGGGCGGCTGGCAGATGCTCTGATATGATTTTTATGCTCCTTCTTTCCTATCAAACATATTATATCGTCCTTATCTCTCCTCCTCCTTTTATGTGTTTGTTACTCTCTTGTAACACCTTTAATTGTCGACAATAAAATTATGCAACCTAATTGTGTAGCAAGTGCCGTAAAACTGTTACTGAAACTTGAACTCAAATCATGATGCTAGGTAAACCTTAAAGAAACCTCCACTCGATCTACGTAGTTGAAGTCACGCAGCAGCAACACTCTGAATTCTTCATCACCATCATCATCATCATCATCATCATCATCATCACCACCAACTTAACAATTCCCCTTTTTCCTGCCTCGTTGTTCTAGAAAACATAACAATTTGCACCATGTCAATACATTCCTTTGTAACCATCAGATATGGGCACCAAAATCAGGACACAGGGGAAAAAAACAACAACAAAAAACCACTCTGAATTCTACACCCGCGAGAGTCTGTGGTGGTATGGTGAAAATTTGCTGGAAAGACGAATAATTTTTTTTTTTTGGTACGGCGTTCGCAACTACAAAAGTCATGTGAGCGTGTGGGACACAAGCTAGTTGTTTCCACAGGATGCATTTTCAGGTTTTTTGTTTCTTGGCTGTTGTTGTTTTTGTTGTTGTTGTTGTTGGTGTTGTTGTTGGTGGTGTTGTTGTTGGTGTTGTTGTTGTTGTTATTGTGTTATTGTTGTTCTTGGTGTTGTTGTTGTTGGTGGTGGTGTTGTTGTTGTTTGTGTTGTTGTTGTTGTTGTTGTTTTTGTTTGTTGGAAGGGGGGTTGCGTTTTTGTTGTTTTTTTGTTTGTTTGTTGTTGTTTTTTTGGGGGGTGTTGTTTTTGTTGGGGGGGGGGGGGTTCTTGGTTGGAATTTGTTTTCAATTTTGCCCTGGTGGCGGCCGAATCCTACTCTTGTCGGTTTCAGGACCACCAAATGATCTTTAATTAACGTGTGCAACTTGCTCACAAGACTCCAAGATTATTTGGCCCTTATCCGAGAAGGCTAGGTGTAAGATTTTACCTACCCTAAGGTCAGGGGTGTAACTGAAAGACAGCAGCAAGAAGGAACCAGGAGTAGCAGTAGAAAGTGTCAGGAGCCCAGAGGAGAGGATCCGAGAACTGGGGGCGGGGGGTGGCAGAAAGATGAGATGAAAGAACATGACTAGAGAACAGGAAAGGAGGTGAAAGGAGAAAACTTTAAAGAAAATTTGTCGTTTTTATGGACAGGCGGGCTAACCCAGATTTCGGGTTTCCAGAAATCTTGACCAACTCCAGAAGTGGGCATTTCCATACCTATAGGAGAAGTTTGGTTTCATTGGTGTGTATATTTATTTGGTTCTCGAGAAAACTCTCCTTGTCTTTTAAAGAGACTGAACAATGGGCAAAAACTTTACCTTCGATCTTCTCAAAACAATATTTTTCAGGATTGCCCCCTTGGGCTTAAAAGAGGCCAATTTTTCGTCGCTGTCAAATTTGGAACCCATGACTTATGGAATGAGAGATGAACACCGTGCCTCTAAACCACGAGAGCCCCTTGTGAAGTCCCCCCGCCGCTGCACACAAAAGACGTGAAGGCCAAGGCGGGCTTATTAATAATATTTGCGATTATGTGGGGAGGGGGGGGGTATCTGGTTTCAAAAGTAAAATTATCGAAAAAATGGCCACCAATGTGTGGTGATTTCCAAAGCTTGAGAGTGCTTAAAATCATAGATTTATAATTTTTGTGAGCCTTTGATCAACGGTATTGAGCCAAATTCACAAAGCGAAATGTGTCATTTTAAATGGACATCAAAAAGATGTCCCCCCCC